ATATACGGTAACAACGAAAACTTTGAATTTCTGTTTTCTGTAGTATCCTCTTTATTCGCGAAAATATTATCTATGTACACTTTACCATTACAACTCTCACTGGACTATCAGAATATGATGAATAGAATATTCATAATATTCATACAAGGTGTCGTATAACACCTTTACTTCGAAATTTTTAATACGGATTTGTATCTTTTGTAACAATATTTTGATCGATAATGTAATATTCTGAAATATCCTCAAATCATTACTTCCGTCTTATTCCACAGGTGATTTACAAAAACTTTTGAGCCTGAAATGTTTTGATCGCCCAAACTTCTGATATTTCCAGTGAGGTTTTCCCAGGTCGTATAACTTCCATATGATTAATAGAATTTTTTCTGTCCAATCGTTATTTCGGATCTCACGGTTTCAATGGAACAGATTTATTCAATTTTTGTTCTATTTGATTGTTTTTGATTTTGTTGACAAGAGAGGGAGGTACATAGAAGATCAATCATGTTGAATTTTGTCTCGCGGATAATATTTGGTTTATGTAAATGTTGTTTCCTGAAAATACAGACATGTTATCCATTATTATTGTCGCAGGAAACCTGAAAATCTATATATCAGCTTCAGCTTGGCAACTTAGTGATAGCAATACAAGAACATAGACTTTCATGGTCGGAGTCACGAATAAACAGGAAAATCACGGCTGATAGGCCGTGACTTGTAATAACAAACGTCTACTGTGGCAGACATCTTCAGTGGTATATGAATGGACTACAAGAACGAAGATACTTCCTCGAAGCCTCAGCAATGACTGACTGCCTTGACTGGCGAACTCTGTGTTTCTCGTATTCATACTTGTTCGGAGATGTTTATGTGAACGCTCACTCAAAATTGAACACCCCTCATACTAGGTTGTTCTGATTATCTCATTTTGTTGTTCTATCATCACCATACCTGAGAACAATGTCGACCAATCAACCTAGTACATGTGCGAACTAGTCGTGAGTAAGCAATCACATAAACACCTTACCACAACTCCCATGAAAATCTATATATCAGCTTCAGCTTGGCAACTTAGTGATAGCAATACAAGAACATAGACTTTCATGGTCGGAGTCACGAATAAACAGGAAAATTTCACGGCTGATAGGCCGTGACTTGTAATAACAAACGTCTACTGTGGCAGACATCTTCAGTGGTATATGAATGGACTACGAGAACGAAGGTACTACCTCGAAGTCTCAGCAATGACTGACTGCCTTGACTGGCGAACTCTGTGTTTCTCGTATTTATACTTGTTTGGAGATGTTTATGTGAACGCTCACTCAAAATTGACCACCCCTCATACTAGGTTGTTCTGATTATCCCATTTTGTTGTTCTATCATCACCATACCTGAGAACAATGTCGACCAATCAACCTAGTACATGTGCAAACTAGTCGTGAGTAAGCAATCACATAAACACCTTACCACAACTCCCTTCAACTCCAACAAGTATAAATATGAGTGAATCGGAGTTCTACAGTGTCTCTGAAGAGGCATATGCCTGTAGCGGGGCCCCTACAATACTATCTTGTGTACTAACATTCATTCTGTACCAGAAACAATCAATAAACTTTTTGAATTGAGTTTTCTAGCTGTGTTATTTTTGGCGTTAATTTAGTAACAAAATGTTACTTCATGACGTTTGAGATTACGAAGTTACATGTCACCCATTTTGTGAATTTTCGGAATCTTTCCACTGACAGATTACTCACCAGAACTGACAAAACTGACAGTTGACATCCTAACAAATGTTTATTTATTCGATAATTTCTATTTTGTGCCTATATGTCGGCGTTTTTTCCAATGCTCAAAGCAGTTCTGGTATGCAATTTTTGGAATCTCCTTCTGCTCTCTCAGCGATTCGGTTTTCACCTCAATCTTCACAAAACGCCTTCCTTTCATGGGCCTCTTCAATCTAGAGAACAGGAACAATTCACCAGATTTGGCGGGGGGCCAAATCTGGTGAATGCGGTGGCTGATGCATGATTACGGTGTTGTTTTTGGCCAAAAAAATTACGAACAAGCAATGAAGAGTGAGCAGGTGCATTATCGTGATACAAAAACCATGAATTGTTTTTTCACAATACTGGCCGTTTTCATCGTATTGCTTCTCGCAAGCGGCGCAGAACTTCTTGAAATGTGGCAAGAACTCCTGATACACTACGCCATGGTAATCGAAGAAAGCAGTGAGTAAAGTCTTGACATTTGATCATACTTGGCATGCTACTTTTGGTCTTGGCTCTCCTGGGACGATTGGACATTGATTTCGATGTCATAACTTACCCATCCTGAACGATTTTCATGCAACGTTTTTTTTTTATCAAAAGTCATCAATTTTGAAATGAACTTCGCTGTCATACGCTTCATACCCAAAATTTACGAAAAAATTGCATGAGCCAACCGATATGTCGACATCACCAGTAACTTCTCTAATAGTATTCGTATTCCCCTGTCAACATTTTAAGTGTTTTTGAACATTCAATTCCATTCTCCACACAGGATTTGAAGCAAATTTTTGTATCCATTTTGTTCATAACTGAAAATCGCCGAACACACAAACCACTTCCAATTTGTATGCCCCTCACCAACAAACATGCTAAACAGCTGAACATACCTCCCATTTTCCTGTTCGTAGTCAACGCATCTACCTGAGGTTGTCTACTTCTCTGGCAACAAGTTCTATTGGAACACGGCCTACCAACTCCGATTTTGTCTCTGTAATTGGTGCTTGTGATGCACTGTTTGGTGGTTTGGTTTGGTATAGTAATGAATATTACTGGAGTTTTATCTAAACACCAAACCGTTATTTTAATACCTCGACACGTGTTTCGATCACCAAGTGATTATATTCAAGAACACGTGTCGAGGTGTCAAGGTGTTGAAGATGATCAATTGGTGATCGAAACACGTGTCAAGGTGTTGAAATGACGGTTTGGTGTTGAGATAAAACTCCATTGATATTCTATAATTACTGATAGTATTCATATTACTGTCATCTAACGGTAGTTTAAAAAATTTTCATATGAAATACAACCTGAAAGTACTAGACAGCAAGTGAAGTTGAAATTTCGAGTTTGAAGTCAATATTACGATTCATCAATTTATCAAAGAACAAAAAAATTCAAATATTTTCCCCTTCTATAACCACCATTTCTGGATTATTCAGCTTCAGAAATTGATTCTTACTACTCCTTCATACTGATCTAAAGGGAGTCCAGCTAGCATTAACATGGCAATGGTTTGGTCCGTAAACTCAATCTTTCCACGAACTAGACGTCTGTTTAACCCTTGCATCTTTGAGAAATATTCTTGCATAGTCATATCATTTGTCTTCTCTAACCTTGTCATGTCTTTCATCGTAATTACACTATGTAGCAATGTGAAAGTACCATATAATCCTATCAACGTTTCCCGGATAGTTTATGCAAGTTGTATATCTCCTATGTCTTCTAAGATAGCATCTGACACCAAAGAAAAAATCAAGGACCTTGCTTTTTTATTTTGACGATCTTGGTCATTATTAAGAGCGTTAATGTCATTTCCAAATCCTGGCTCTATAGCTATCCAAGTATTTTCACTCACCAACTTGGCTTCAGTTCTAACTGACCAGTCAAAGTAGTTATCTTCACCGTGCAGCACGTATAATTTCTTACTGTCTTCCGCCATATTTCACTTTTAAACAATCTATGTTCTCGATCACAATCAATATCGGTTCGATCTATATTTCAATCTTTGATTCGCGTAGTTTAACGCTCTGGGCCCATAAAAGCTGTTGTTACATTCAGTAATTAAACGTTCTTATTTCAACTTGTTCATTTTACTATAGTATTCATACTATTTTACACCTTGCAATACATTCATTACCAAAAACCCCGTGGGTCAAGGCTGAACAGTTTTCTACATACAACAACATGGAACATGAAACACAAAACACTTTAGAACCAGAGTTCATAACAGTGTTGACGGATTTCTTATATTTGAACAACTCAACACAGATCACTTTTCGTCCAGACTCTCACCGTTCAATCTCAAATCTCCCCGTAATCTCTCAAATGTCATCCACTTGACGACAGCCCTCAGTTGCCGGTCCCTCTGCACGTAAGTTCCAACATATGCGATAGATGTCACTTTCCCGTCATCTCTACGTTGACTTGTCCAAATAACTAATTCAATACTTGATTCCGTAGATTAACACAACACTACATAATTTATTTACACATAAAATGCACATATAACCTATTTACAATTAACGGAAAAGCTCTCCTCGCTGAGTAGTCGAACCACTCTGTTCATCTAACTGAACGCGCTCCTGACAGACTTTCATACAACACACCTACACCCTCAACCAAGGTTAGATGTCACGGCTGTCGTGTCAATGCTGTCAAACACTGTGATGTTTACGAAAATGAGGATGTTTACAAAAGACCTTCAATATAACAGAAAAGAAAAATCGCTTCAGATACGACCCAATGAAAATGAGGTAAGGAGTCCCAATAATTGGCATAACATCTCAACAGACTACTGAATTGATCGATATTGATATCTGACCGTTTAAAAAAAAATCTGTTTAAAATCTGTTTTTCCGTTAACCAGCTGTCGCGCCCCTATGAACGACAACCCTCAGAAGTCGAAACTTGTGCGAGCTAATGATTAACGAGGTCTTACCTTTTAACGTGTGATTCCTAACACGGGTTGGACGATAGCAAGTGAAGATCGATCGTTCAGACTAGGGCTTGAATCACCGACCAACACGGCAGTCAATTCGACTGAGTGAACAAAGCACCCACGCCGAACCGCTTGGCTACCGACCGAGCACATTATTCCAACCTGAACAATGTCGTTTTACAGATTTTCGATATCCCATCAAGTAAATATCGGTACAAGAGTTCAATAAGTGGATTTGAAATACAGAACAACATAATGACGACTCCTGTACTATCGAAATGAATGAAACCAGTACCTAATACTTGGCAATCCCACACAAGAATAGCCTGTCTTTGGGATGGAAATCCAGTAAAAACCGAGATGGAAGGTAGTAGGACTTATTTCTCATTCATGACAAACAAACTGACAAGTATATTTGTGTTTTTAGGGTAGAGTTTACGATGGAGTCAGGCATTTTATCGTATCGAAGCTGTGTAAATAGAATAACCTTTTCTTGAGAAGTGTACCTTGAGATATTGCAATAATAAAGAATTACAGCGTTTATACCAAGTGTTGGGTTAACTAGGTGACTTGTGCTAAGTGAAATTTACAACGTAACACAGGATAATTCGGAAAGCAATCGAAATTGAAAAACGCCCCAACTGCCTTAACAAGCGAGATGATTCGCAGAGACTACCATAAACCTGGAGGATATTGCTGTCACGCAAGATACCTGAAAATTACTCAGGCAAACCAGATACCTGCTACAACAACATGCATATGGGCCCCGAACAACTGAGTGACCAGTATGAACTTAGAGTGGAACACAGCAAACATAGAACTAGTAACGAGACTTGGGGACAAGGGAGATTACGACCTCGTCTTCGAATCATGTAGTACAAATCTAAGTGATTCTTGAAAATGACTCCAAAGCAGTAGCCGAAACGTCGAAATGATGGAAATTACAGACGCGGTTTGTGTGTTCGGATAGGTTTCCGCGGTCAGTAAAATGATATACTGTTGTCCGGGTTGAACCGCGTCTGTAATTTCTTATCACTTCCAAAAGCGGTGATAGTTTTACATAATTTGCTCACTCACAACAGTATATGTCGACCACACACTGAACACTGAGCCGTGCGAAAAGAGGCGAGAGAATCGTACGGCCTGCGCTGTATGTTAGAGTGAGGAGAAAGGACATACTGGCGCCATTATGCGTTAAAGTACACAGTTGTCCTGAAAATCTTGCGAAAAAAATTGGATTCGATAATTTAGGAAACATTAGCTACATGAATAGCATTTTACAAGTTCATGACGAGCTTTTAACCATGAATGAAAACAAGAATAAGTTTTCTATTTATTCACCAAACTCAAACACCTGTTCATGCAGCTGCAGTTTCGTAAGAATGTATCATCTCCAAATACACAAAGTTGCACGGATGCGTATTGAGCATTTTACCTTAGTAAGGTGACCAGAGGAAAGTTGCAACCCTAGCATATAAATCTTAATAAATATTGAGGGAGGTCAAGATCAACAGAAAGTATTGAGAAATTCATTCAATATTCATTGATCAGTCTTCAGAAGTGGTTTCAGAGCACTTTGAGAATGCAGCACATCTCCTTTTCATCGTTTTTGCTGGGGAAAAGACGTTCCCTGCAAGTGGCCGTCGATGTATATCTCTCGAATACTTCTACCATCAACGCTGGTGTTCCCCAGGGATCCAACGCTCTTTTTATTGTTTATCAACGACTTATTGAAAAAAAACAAGAATCCAATATATTGCTTTGCTGACGACAGCACACTTCTCTCGTCATTCCATTTGGATTCCAGGCCATCGGCTACGGAGGTACATCTTCACCGGCACCAGGAGGTTGCATATCATAATTAGGACCTAGAAGTGATTTCGAATTGGGATGAAAGTAACCAGGTTCAATTCGATGCCACAAAAATCTAGGCATCGGTTTTATCGGGTCTTCGAACCGGGTATAATAATATCACGTCAGACAATTCCGCTTTCTGCTTCGATAAGTTTGTCGGGGGTTAAAATGGACACCTATATGTCTTGGCACAATCCACAATCATGTCGCTGGAATTGCAAAGGCTGCTTCTCATAAGCTTGGAACACTGTTTTGAACCAGAAAACTATACACACCTCAGCAACTTTTGATGCTTTATAAAGCTTAGATCAGACCTGAAGCTGCTGGATTCCATCCAGAAAAGAACCATCCGCTTGACTGGAGACGCGAACATCACGTGCAATCTTGATAGCCTGGAACATCGAAAAAAGCTTAGAGATTTGTTTCTCTTCTATAGATACTTTCACGGAAGGTGTTCAAGTGACTTGGCACATTTTATTCCACAAAGAGCGGTACATATCAGAAATACGCAACGGACTGTGACTACCCATCATTTTGAATTTCAACTCAGTACATCTCGAACTTCACTGTTTAAGAACTCTTTCATCTGGAGAAATGCGTTCATGTGGATTAAACTTCCTGAGAACGTTTTTCCAAATGTATTTAATCTCCAGTGATTCAAATCCAATGTGAATCGCCACCTTCGCACTGGCACCGCTCTGAAAACACTTTAAGGATTTTCCTGTAGTGCTTGTGTTTTGTCCTTGAAAATATCATGTTGGCATTGAAATTATCTGTTTGATATTTGGATAATTGAATTGTGAAGAATACTTTATTGTTTACTAATCACATATTCAGAAACAATCAGGTAGTATTCCACGAATTTTGTTGAAAACAAAGGACGGTTGATAATAATTAACAAGACATGTTTGAGTAAATGGATTATTTCACATTAAAAAAGGCTTTCCGTCATTGTTCATGATAACCGAATTATCTTCCGAATCAATATTTAATTGGTTTCGAATATTAGACATTCCGGGGGAACGAACATCCAAATAATACAACGATCTCAACAAAGGAATGTTAGACAATACTCGCTCTGCGAATCCATCTCTTAAGTGAGCACTCAAAATCCATAATGCTGAATCGGCTTTTAAACTACACAATGTTTTCCATATTTAACATTAAAAAAGGCTTTCCGTCATTGTTCATGATAACCGAATTATCTTCCGAATCAATATTTAATTGGTTTCGAATATTAGACATTCCGGGGGAACGAACATCCAAATAATACAACGATCTCAACAAAGGAATGTTAGACAATACTCGCTCTGCGAATCCATCTCTTAAGTGAGCACTCAAAATCCATAATGCTGAATCGGCTTTTAAACTACACAATGTTTTCCTCGAGAGGAGAAATCGACTTATAGCTGAGTTGGGATTTAGCTGATTCTGCTGACTAAGTTATTAGAAAAAAATATGAAAACAGGAACTGAGAGGTAGATCGTTCCCCTTCCTTCGAAAATAATCACGGATCAAATGTGTAACTGTGACACATGTTTATATTCTCAAGCCCTTCTGCTTCAGGTTTGGATTTGAATATAATTTTCAACCTCTATGTTTTTCTACTCAGACTATTGGAAAAAGCGTCAATTACATGACTACAAAGTCACTGATGATGATAACTCTGTCTAAGCTATTTTATCAGATTTGGTTTTCGTGTTCTGCAGGTTTTCACGCCCAACGTTTTGTTACAATTGTGTTTTTTTCAAGAACAAAACACAAGCAGTTCAGAAAAATCCTTGAGCCGCAAATATCCATCCTTCCTTCGAAGTTCCAGATTATCAAGATTGCAAGTGATGTTCGTGTCTCCAATCAGGCGGATGGTTCTTTTCTGGATGGAATCCATTAACTTCGGGGTATACTTGGAGGCGGAGCTCAATACATGAGAACAATACTCCAAAGAAGTTGTGATCTGAGTTTTATAAAGCATCGGAAGTTGCTGAGGTGTGTACAGTTTTCTGGTTCGGAACAGTGTTCCAAGCTTTTGAGAAGAAACCTTTACAATTTCAGCGAGATGATTGTGCCAAGACATATTGGTGTCGAAATTACTTCTAGATCCTCATCAAGATATGCAACATCCTGCTGCCGGTGAAAATGTGCATCAGCCGGTGATGTCCTGGAATCCAAATGGAATGACGAGGTAATTGTGCTGTCGTCAGCAAAGTGATATATTGGATTCTTGGTTTTTGCCAATAAGTCGTTGACATACAATAAAAAGAGGGTTGGAGACAATATGAATCGTATTCGAGCGATATCCATCGACGGCCACTTGCAGGAAACATTCTTTCAGAAAGCTGGAAAGTCATAAACAAAAATGATTTGAAAGCCATAGCATCGAAGTTTGCCCAGCGAACCTTCATGCCTCAGGCGGTCAAAGGCCTTAGAAATGTCGAGCGCAACAGCTCTTGACTCTCCATGTTCCTGGATTGAGTTATTCTCAATATGGGTGACATACGATAACAGGTCGCCTGTTGATCTTCGTTTCCGAAAGTCATATTGATGATCGCTCAGTATGTTAAAGCCTTCCAAATGTTCAAGGATGTGGTGGTTTTCGGCTTTCTCAATGATTTTTGTTACCCTGATAGCAAAGCGACTGGTCTATGGTTATTTGGAATATTTTTTGGAGGACATTTTCAAAGGCGATGAGGTAACCGAACGCTTTGGGACACCGTTTTTTTTACTCCATTGATTCTGATCGTGGCTTCGTTCCTATTGGTTGAATTAAGTGATCTGATAGGTGTGCATCAAGCGCAGGTAGCTAGACTTCAATAATGCTAATTTTCTCTGAATGATTTTGATTTTGAATAATTCGATTCAATTACCTGAATTCTTAAACATTGAACAAACAATATAAACAAACCAATATAACTATTTAAAAGTGTGACTTTATCTCTATTTTTCATGTTTTTGAACTTGTTGATTAGACTATATGCCTAGGTAGGATTGTCTACTTATTTCTGTACATGGAAGAGGAAGACCAAACTGATCTTTCTCTTGAAGATGTTCATTTGGTGATCGAAACACGTGTCGAGTTGTTAAAATAACGGTTTGGTGTTGGAAAAAAACTCCAGTAATATTCATTACTACACCAAAGGTTTCAAACAGTGCCTCACGAAAACTTTTTTTCATGTTTTGAGAATACATGTGACCAATACTGAAACATTAATATTATGCCAAAATCAACTTTCGAATAAAGCTGTTGGTGAAAAATTCCATGTTCATGTCACCAGAAACGATTTCGAGAAACATTTTTAATGAAACAACGAAATGTAGTGAATATCATGTTATTTATTTTTTGTTTCATTTGGACATGCAGTTCATTAACTTCAAATACTATCATTGGATTTCTTGATTTCACTATGTTTCTCCTATTCTAATGAAAATATTTTCTATATATTTCAAGCGACTTGGTGAACAGGTTGTATTCCTAATTCGGTTACCTGTAAATAAAAACAATAATAATAATGATAATGGATAGATCGACAAATGTGCAACGTTCTGTCTCAAAACAGGATTATGTTGGACTACTGAGAGGATGTGCAGCTCGTAGATGGAAGCGTCTGGATGCCGGAGAGACATGTACTTACCTAGTGGTGGAACAATGCCACTCACAAGAGGTAACAGCAGTGAAAAATTCTCTTCGCGGCAAGTATCAGAACAAACTCTGACAGATCTGATCATCGGAATGTTCGGGGAAGAACAAAGTTATTGCAAGTAATATGCTTGCCTTTCCAATCTCACCCTACTCATTTAGAGTAGTGTAGTGGTCTCGGGAGGAACTGTATTAACTCGACGTAAAGACCCGAAAAATGATGCACCCCTATAGGAGTTTGCTTCTCGAATTGTCCGTTCCACGGTTGTACATTCCTCGACTACACGAAGGCCGTGGACTTTTGAGTTTGGAGTGTCTTCATTACAGAATGGTACTGGATGAACCCTGTAAAGTCGTGAGGAGTTTAGATCCTCTTCTCTGCATGATCCGCGACTATGAAAGAGCAAGAATTAGAACATTTCTGTTCTAAACCCGGTTTAGTTGTCGACACTGAACGAGGTGATCACACCTTCGTCACCAAGTTGGAACCCCTTCAGCAAGATGCCCATATGAAAGCCACAGAGATTTAATTCATTCCTGCGGCAATACAAGGATAAGTCAATGGATGGGGTCTTCTGTAATTGAATAATTGAATCCGTTGTGGGGAACGAATATAAGCCTGATGTATTCCTTCGCGACCACCAGAGCAAGACGTTATTTGTCGTGGAGCTTTCAGTTCTGGCGAGACGAATATCCTCCGAAAAGAGGGGGAAAAACGGATACAATATCAAGATTTTCTCTTCGAACTCCGCAGACTCTATTCAGACCACTCTATCAAGATAGTTGTTTTGATTATCGAAGTATTTGGTCGAATGATGACATCTCTATTCGCGAATCTCTAGACCTTGTCAGCTTGCCGTACTAAGGCAGAAATATCAGCCGGACAAAATCTGGAGGCTGTCGTGCTTGGCTCACTGCGCTTTCTTACTCAGGGCACATGATTCCTGGACCCAATGATCACTTACCTCGCGGTGTGGGGAGTGGTCATTGGTTAATAATGCTGGCACGCCCTCCTGAATGTATCAAGAAATCGGGGGATAGGGCCTAACCGGCGCAAACTTAAAAAATAATATGATTATAATAATAATAATAATAACAATAATAANGATCATAATTACTATTTACCCAAACGTGCTATTTAAAAAGCATAGCGTGTTGAGATAGTTTCCAGTTCAAACAGTACGAACATTTTTACAACATGTTTGGATAATATTTTAAGTTTTTATTTGATCGGGATCCCGTCAAAGCTGAATGTGAACAATTAAAAATTACAAATGGCAAAAATTTCAAATATTTGTGATTTCCCATCAGAATAGAAAACGTTAAAAAATGAAACCGATGTTCTTCACAATGAGCTAAGCTCGACACTTGACAATTATCATTATTACTATTATCATTAAAAAAAAATGAAAATATGTCCGAAAGATTATCCCCTCAAAATAAAATTCTGTGGGTCTGAGTGATTTTTTGCTCATTGTTATTCATAAAAATCGGCTTTGTTTTGATTTCACTGGCCTACTCTGTATGAACTGTAATGTATTTCGATTTTATGTTTCATTTATCAGAGAATTAGGAATCTGAGGATATGAATTTTATCAATTCCTCAGCCTGACTTCAGACTACTTTCTCAGTTTTCTCTCACTAATTCTAGCGTGTTTGATTTACCATAACATTAGGTGGAGTAGATAAAATATAAATCACTGCGGCGGCGATATCTTCTGGGTTTAAGGCAGGTAAGTTTCCTTCAAATAATTCTGCTAGACTCTCAGCACTGATTCCACTGGCTTCGAATATTTCTGTTACGACAAATCCCGGGCTCAAACTCTGAAAGTAAATCAAAAGCGTTCAGTAGATGCTAAAACTTCTAACTTTAAAGGTATCTTAGTCATCACTTTTTGATAAAAAAGATAATATTGTCGTTTGCGGAGAAAATCAACGATAATTGTATTCATTTTGACGACTACTCACAGTACTGTAGCAGAATTCGTAAATTACTAGATTTTATTATGCTGTTCTCCAAAATTACTTCCTGTCTTGATGGGTTTTTGTAGACATGATGTCAAGAGAAGTGATGGCTGCATGAAAATTAATTCTTTCATATCCAAACACTCACTGGTTTTGTATGGTGTGAATAATGATCCTATGTCTGTTACCTTTTTTATATCCCTCAATCGTTAGCTAGTATGTGATCGATTTGTTTGACAGAACATTTGCGGACAGAATATTCATTCCGATCCATTTTATATAGAAATATATGAACACCTATGATGTCCTGACAAAATATAATTCAAAACTGCTGTCAAATTTGGGGATTCTTGAGATTGTTGCCCACCGTGAATATTTTTGACGAAATCCTCAAAGTTTCATCATTACTAGAGTTTGGTACTTCCAGAAATACAAAGATTTGAAGATGCAAAGGCATGTCGCCGAAACGTTGAAGAACTTTATCAAACCAAATAATTATATCACATTATCTATTGTTGTTTTCAATATAACAGATTTCAGAATTCTTATTGTAAGTATTAGTACAAGAATGTTCTTATTCAGATTTCGTTTCTGATAGTCAGCAATCCAAAAAATCCATTTAACTAAATAGAATCTGTCCCCAAAGGTCAAAGATTTATGTTTCTTCATTTAGGCGGTGAGAAGGTGAGGTGTGATTAAAAGGATACCTCATTAACAAGAATCATATGTACCGTAATGTGTGTGAAAATAATATCAGTATTCAAGACAATTTCCTGTACTTACAGTGACTTTGATTCGAGACTTAGCATTACAGAATTCGTATCTCAGAGACTCAGTAAAAGCAGTCACAGCAAATTTGCTCGCTGGGTATATATTCAGTGGCACATTCTGGCTTACTCGGTGTCCAAACACACTGTTAATATTGATTATCTGTCCATCAATTTGATTCTCAATCATATCCTTGATAGCCTCCCTCGTTGTAATCGCTAGTCCTTGTGGAAGAAAAAATAAATAAATATTGAATAAAATCCTTGATTATCAAACATATGTTTGAATATAATTCACAAGGTGTTATTTTTGAAACGTCCCTTGATAACTCTCTTTTAGGAAATAATATGAGAAATCGGAATAAATATTTTCAGCCCTGGTATTTCAAAAAGACAGATGTTTCTTTCAGCATATCGGAAAAAAGTTAGGTTGTACATCATTTTGAAGACTTCTGAAATTTCATTTTAAGTATTTACTATATAATTTCTTGAAAATCTGGACAGTAGATGGAAGTGAATACTGCGTATTCGACAGACTTTCACTCAATATCAAAGAAAAAATCAATATCTCACATTTCAAAAAATTTTCCGAATATTTGTCAAATATTTCATATACCTTTCCGTATTTTTAATGCAAAATTTGTCGATGCGACAAATTTTGATCTACTAGTCCCTGTATCAATAACTCTCAGTTTTGAGTAATGACAATTTTCATATATGCAAATGTCAATGGGACACGAAACTTCATCATTAATTTTTGTTTTCATTCCAATTAACTACTTCATCCGTGAAAAGAAGGTGATAGCTAGGAAAGTTCTTCGTACGAAAGTTTCTGGAATCGTATTAATGGCAGTTCAAATTTAACATAACAATGAATGAGACGGTTTTATTGTTTTTTGAGTATTCAACATTTCACTATCTGACAAATAAACAGAGATGAATCGAAAAACAATCTGCTGAAATATCATAACGAGCAAACTGAAAAGTTTGCTCATCATGCCCCCGAAAAGTTATTACGCAATATAAACCGCCGAAGAGTCTAACCTAACCCAACCTACATACAGTCGGTAACTTTTAGTATTCATACATTTTGATACAAGCTGAATAATGAACAAAAAAAAACATATATATACTCATCTCTCTTCAGATGGTTCACGTTTCGGGAAATGATCATTTTTTGTTTCTAAACCCATAAAAGTTCCACTTCAACTCAACATGTGTCAAAATGAAAATAGCTGTTTCCAATTGAGGCATTGTTCATGAGTGATTTATTGTTGCTTTCTAAAACGAAAAAATTCAACCATCAGAATTCTTTTTGTTAGTTTTGATATCGCTTTTGTGAGCCGTGATTCTGTCTTTGAAACGTCTACCGGTTTGTCCTATGTAGATTTTGTTGCAAGTTGCACGAGGAATTCCATAAACTGTGCCTGAACTATGCAAAATTGGAGTTTTGTTTTTAAATTTGGTAAACATATTTTCAATTGTGACAGTATTTTTGAATGAAATTGTAATAATAATAATAATGTTTATTGGTAACCTTAAAATAGAAAATACGAGCAAACTGAAAAGTTTGCTCATCATGCCTCCGAAACGTTATTGCGCAATATAAACCACCGGAGAGTCTAATTAGTCGGTAACTTGTGGTATTCATACATTTTGCTTACAGCTGAATAATGAACAAAAAAAAAACGAAATTCATATACTCATCTCTCTTTAAAGGGTCACGTTTCGGAAAATGATCATTTTCTGTTTCTAAACTCATAAAAGTTCCACTTCAACTCAACATGTGTCAAAATGAAAATAGCTGTTTCCAATTAAGGCATTGGTCGTGAGTGATTTATTGTTGCTTTTCAAAACGGACAAATTTAACCATTAGAATTTTTTTTGTTATTTTTGATACCGCTTTTGTGTGCCGTGATGCTGTCTTTGAAAAGTCTACCGGTTTGTCCTATGTAGATTTGGTTGCAAGCTGCACAAGGAATTCCATAAACTGTGCCTGAACTATGCAAAATTGGAGTTTTGTCTTTAAATTTGGTAAACATATTTTCAATTGTGACAGTATTTTTGAATGAAATTGTAATAATAATAAAAATGTTTATTAGTAATCTCAAAATACAAGGGCAGGATTAATTCCACTAAAACCGATTTGGTTTTGCATGAAAGGGTTTCCGGTTCTTGTATTGCAAATAGGTGTGCCAGTTGCATGGGTATAGACATTACAAACGAATTTATGATGAACATGATTTTTTTTAGTAAAAACTTATAGCTACATTGAAACATTATGGTTACGTTGAAATAATTTAAACCTTGTAACTACGTTGGAACATTCTAGATTGATTGATTTAATTAATAGGTGAATTGGAAATGGTAGGTAAGCTTGTTATTGACTGCTTTTGTTAACTTTCGATTAAGGAGTATACTGTATCTCTTCCAAGTTGAGCAATGAATTATTTGAATATTTTGTTGATCTTATTCAGGGAATATTATGGATATGTTTGATTCTTTTAATTTTACACAATAACACATTGATATGTGGAATGGAATAATATTTAGAGGTTATAGTATCATTTCTGGGGAAAGAAGCATTTGTCCCACTATGCTTAGTAAGTATGACTGAAAATCAAACCGTTGACTAGTTTAGGAAGATAGCCACTTGTGATGAATAAATTTGAAAATTTTTTAAGGTTGAGAGTCCATAGGATGAAATGGCTTGTTAGTAACACTCTGTTTTCCATCCCTGAGACCAAATTGACTTTTTTTTTTGTTGTCATGGAACGATTGATAATGCAGGAATCTACCAGACGAGCCTGGTTTGGTGTACCACGAAGCAATTACCGTATTATCATATATCTTCTTATTAGTATTGTATCGAGAAATGGAACACTGAAGTTCTCATTCTCTTTTTCGATGGTGAACTGAAGATGTGGGTCATGGTTGTTGAAAATCCGGAAGACCTATATACAGGGTGTAACATAAGTACGTTTAAATATCAAAGTGTCGTATTCCTGTGACAACTTCAAGAAAATAAGTCTATAAAAACTTGAATCCAAAAATGCTTCATTTCGGAAATACAGGGTGTTAAAACTGAATTCCTTATTCGTTTTTTAAAAATAACTCTTGCAAAAAATAAGTTATTTGCACGAAAACTGGTACCTGGGGTATATTTGACATGTGACATCATAATTTCGTATTAATTTTCAGGTTACATCTAGAAGGTGCTGCGTACGCTGTAATTATGTATTTCAAATTGCCCTTACTCTTTTGACAGTAAACTTTTGGTACTTTTCGGGAAAAAGCCTAATTCTCACGCCTAATCCAATTGAAAAAAATACACTTCCTCAACAACGCTGGGGGTGATAGTTTTCGAGATATGTACAATTATATAGATGCATATTACTCAGCTCCTAGGGCGCTAAGTGAGGTTGCTGAGAATATTACAAAAGCTGAGTATGTGGTGGATGTTAAAATAAACAACTTTTTCCTTAGAAATGTTTATTGAAAAATCATTCTTTTTCGAGAAACAAATTGTAGAAATTTTTTAAAACATAGTTAGTTTTTTGCAATTTCAGTTATTTTCGTCGAACATTTTATAGAAAGAAGTTATTTATTTTGATACGTCATTCCATGTTCACAATATTTAATCGCGGTATGACCAAGATTAATGTTAAATGAATTCTTTTGAATTGTTTGTTGAATTATTATCAAATTGTATAATCAGATTGTAATTCGAGTATATATGTGTATGCATATGTATAATTATATGTATAACTTTTAATTATTATGGCTATACTCAAATTGAATATTTTATTTTCTTGTTTATTCTTTTAAACGGTTAGTATAAATAAAAATGGAAGATTCTCTCATCCCTTTTTTTCGTATCAGATGGAGTAGTAGAAAGCCAAAAACTTTCTTTCCCAAAAAAATAAATTGAACATATTATTTGATGAGGAAAGTTAAACATGTATAGGATTTTTTGGGTTTGACAAATGTCATACCTTCACATAAATGTCATTTTTCACTGGGTATGATAATTTTATAATCTTTGACTTTCAAGGAAAAGTTATTGATTGATATAATTTTCATTATTATTATGTTTTTGATGTAGTTCCAGCAAGTTACTGTTTATACTGCTGAGATTATCAATGTCAGTTCTCTTATTCATACAATCAGAATACACATTGATTTCAACCATTTCAAAAACAAGGAGTTTGGAATTTTTTTCCGAACGAGACAGTTGTGAGAAAAAAGTATATATATGAACTAGTGTCCGGAAATGCTGAGTATGTAGTAGATCTCGTCAAAATAAACAACTTTTTCCCATGAAATGTTTCATGAAAATAACTAAAATTGCAAAAAACTAATGACAAAAACCAACCATGTTTCCAACATTCCAATAATCTGTATCTCGAAAACGAATGATTTTTTGATAAACATTTTAAAGATAAAAGTTGATTATTTTGACGAGATCCACCACATACTCAGCTTTTGTAATGTCCCCAACAACTTCACTCAGCGCCCTAGGAGCTAAGTAATATGCATCGTTTTTACCCATATGATACCTTCTCACTACTTTGATATGTCATTTCGTCCCTTTCCGGAATAAAATTTATTTTTATTCAGATTTAGGTTGATTCAGGTTGATTTACCCAACCCCAATAAACAATAATGATGATAATAATAATAATAACTATTCAAAACCTTATTTACCCATCACATTAACATCCAAAATTTGTTTCCAGCTTTCAGTATCTCCGTCCATCAAAGTTGTATTTTTTGCTACCCCCGCATTGTTTACCAATACGTGAATGGGCCCCAAATTATTCTTCACGTATTGAAAGGCGTCCAGAATATCAGATTCGACTGTGATATCACATTTCACGGGGTAGAGGTATCCTCGTTTTCCGGAAAGTGTTCGAGCTAACTCTTCCATTTTGTCTATGCGCCTGGCCAACCCCACTACCTTCAGAAAATTGAAAAATATTCAGTCTTGAATGAAATGAGTAATTTTTTTATCATACAATTCGTAAAAAATGGTAATAAATAGTAGAGTTTGAAAGAAACTAAAAAAACACGCTTTAAAAGCAACACAAACTGAAAAATAAAAAATAATTAGGAACTAATTTAAGATTGTGTAAATGTTCAAGTGGTAGCAAAAACGTATGTGAATTTCTGGAACTTCAACTAGCGTTTCCTAATATGACTAATAACCAGTCCATGCAAACCTTATTGTTAAAACATCTGAAAATGGAACTTTCAACAGGTGATGATCGACTGTATTGCCAAACATGCGCCAAACTGACTGACTGTCATAAGAAAACAAGTATAGCTGAGGCACCAGCCAATCTAATAATAACACTGATGATCTACAAACATGACTCAACCTCTGACGGAAGCACCAAACTCTTACGAAGGTTCGAAATAGATGAACACCTTTGGACCTCTGGAAACACCCCACATTTTGTTTTATGAGAGAGAGGACATTGGCAGATCAAGTTCTTCAGCAAAGCAAAGGCGCCACTGGAATCAACGAAGTCGCCTCGGAAAGCCAATTAAGTTTTATTGTTGTTTTATAATTCCATGTTTGTGTTTATGAATGAAAATTATGTCAAAACTACCTACATTCTCAGATGTGTTTCATTATTTACTTCCCTAAAAAAAAGGTTGTGTCGAACATCGATAATAAGTCCTATGGCTTGATGTAACTAATGACTTTTAATAAGTCTGGAATCTGGATAAATCTATTTAAAAGGAAATAATTTTGTTGTATGATAAGGGTACAAAGTTTAAAATACATCGAGTCTAAAGGAGTCCATTACAAATAAACATACAAGTGACGCTTCACCAGCAGCAGGAGGTTGCATATCTTAATGAGGATCTAGAAGTGATCTCGAATTGGGGTGATTCAATCGCCAACACCCAGACATCGGTTTTCTCCAAGAAGATAAATGTCTCCGAACCGAATTTGTCAGGTCAGACAATTCCGCTTTCTGCTTCGATGAGTTTATTGGGGGTTAGAATGGACACCAATATGTCTTGCCACAATCATGCCATTGGAATTGCAAAGGCTACTTCTCAAAAGCTTGGAACACTGTTCCGAACCAGAAAAATGTACAAACCTCAACAACTTTTGATGCTTTATAAAGCTCAGATCAGACCTTCTTTGGAGTATTGTTCTCATGTATGGATCTTTGCCCCTGAACATACCTTGAAGTTGTTGAATTCCATCCAGATAAGAGCCATCTACCTGATTGGAGACGCGAACATCACGTGCAACCGTGATAGCCTGGAACATCAAGAAAGGTTGAGGATACGTCTCTCTTCTATAGATATCTTTACGGGAAGTGTTCAAATGACTTGGTACATTTGATTCCACTAAGAGCGGTACATATCAGAAATACGCGACGGACTGTGGCTGCTCATCGATTTGGTGTTCAACTCAGTACACCTCGAACTTCGCTGTTTAAGAACTCTTCTGTCTGGAGAACTGCGTTTATGTGGAATGAACTTCCTGAGAACGTTTTTCCAAATGGATATAATCTACAGCGATTCAGGCACCGCTCTGGGAGCGCCTTAAGGATTTTCCACACTAAAATGTTCATTGTGCGTAATGGTTGATTTTACATGCACAACACCTGAACCTGTCGTTCTAGCGCGGTTACAATTTTTTATTGCGACACTAATTTTCGATTGACATTGTTTCTGATTGCATGAAAAAGATAGTCGATAACTTATTTGACAAATGTTCAACCTTGTTTTTTCAGTCAAACAACGAAATTTCCAAAGAAGACAAATAGTAGTACATAAATTAAAACGTGAAGTTGTCATATCACTCAATTCGAAGTATCTTTCACATAGTACCTGTACCCGAATGACACTAATTGTTCTTTAGATAAAAGTATGTAGGAGAAAATATATTCTCCTTGCTCAGATGAATAATCATCCAGCTAAAGAATGGCAGTAAGATCTAGAAATTTTCATTTCAATTCACACAGTTGTTTCAAATAATGAATTCCTTCATCATCATTATTCAAAAACTGAAGGTTCTGTTGTAATTTATGAGAATTGTATATGATTTTTGTTCGACTATTCTTTTGATAATGGATAATGGATTGTAATCGAGAAATCTAAATGAAGAGAATGACAAATTTCTCATCAAAGATAATCGAAAACAAATACAAGAATCGGTGAAATGGATTATCTTATATTATAGTAATGAAAAAAAGACCAATTGAAAAAAGTGAAATTATGGAAAAAAGAGACACTGAGATTAGTAAACCAATGTAAAAACTGGATAAAAANGTAATTGTCTAATCCCTGAAATTGAAAAAATACTAGCAGATAACATATTGATATGAAGAGGGTTGTAATGAAGATCAAAAGAAATAGAGTTGTGAAATATGTTCATTCAGGAAAAACTCTTCAACAAATTCAAACTTTCAGTTACTTTTGGAAAACACTAAAAGTCAGTAACTTTTTACTTGCGAAGATATTTATGTTGATGTCAACATACTCTCTGTGAAAGTATCCCAGAAATAGAATTTTGGTTACCGACAATATAACTGAAGTGAAATAAATTAGGAAAAATCAAAGGAGAAAATTCAAGAAGAATAAAAATCTTACCGTCATTCCTTCTTCTACCAATTTTTTTGCAATTCCTGCTCCTATACCTGAGCTGGCCCCCGTGATGATAGCCACCTTACCAATCCACCTATCCATTTTATCAGTTCTTTAAGGGCGGAGAGGGTCCTAACAAATATTGTTTGTGATGTTACGCTGAAATGACTGACGTGTAGGAGAAGCATTTTATATAGGTAAACGTTTCTTCGAGATACAAACACTCTTCACCAATCATATTCGACAATTAAATATTACCGATAATAATTTTACAGCACCGACTGGGAAGCGACAAATGATCTCTGAAACAACATAATTATTAGTGTGGATGTAATTGTGTTGTCATTATCTATTCCACCTAAGGAAATATTTACTGGTACATAGAAATTTCGAATAATGGTTAGAATATTGCTGGATGTAATTTAGCTGAATTACAGAGCTGAAAATAGAGTTTTATGTTCGTATGGTTTCGTCATCACTTTCCTGAAAACTCAATGTCAGATACAAAAAAAAATTGAGAAAGCTAGTTATCGCACGAAAAAAACGGTTATTGTCGCAAAATGAAAATCATCTCCAATTATAGATACACACATCGGAAAAGTCTAGGAATATTTTTAAAAATGGCAATAATTTTTTTTAGATCGCTTTAGGGAAAAAAAAGTTGACGGGTGATTATTAAACGAATGTAACTTACAACAAAATTTATTAAATGGTCAAAAATACTGAGTGCGCATATAAGCAAAACTAAAAAAAAATATGGCTCTTCTTTGGCACCCCGAAAAAAAATCATAATACAAAAAAAATTGGAATCAGTACAAAGTATGGCCTCCACGCTGGTTTATTACGGCCCTACATCTATCGTGCATCGACAAAATGAGATTGTCAATGTCTTGTTGAGGTACATTTGCCCATTCAGCGATTAAAAGCTCTCTCAATTGAAACGTTGTGTGAATGTTCCCCATATGCGGAGTAATTCTTC